TGGCCCATAAATTGTTGGCATTTGTTGAGAGTTTTCCTCTGTTCTATTTCTTTTCATTTTACTGCGAGCTCCGGCGCTTCCTTTATATTTTCTTGGGCATTTCGTGGTCAAGTGTAGTCGGTAATTTTTGAGCGGTTATTAGTTTAAATGGCCATGGCAAATGTTTAGTTTCGCCCTTGCCCCTTTTGTATTGTTAGCCCAAATCTCTGTCAATTTGTTGTAAATGGTTTCTTGATGGCTCATTGGAGGCTTGTTGTGGATTTAATCGGCGCCCTAGCCCTGCTGAACGAAGGCTCAGGGCATGTGTTTTACTCAGAGTTTGTGGAGTGTTTTTGGGGGCAGATTTTCAGTAGTTATTTGCCCTTTGATTTCTGTAAAGGCAAGCAAACATGCCACATAAAATATATTTAAAATTAGGCAACAAAGACAGCAGACAGCAGACAGCAGCGTCAAGAAAAGCAAAGCAAATCCTTTGCTCCAACTGCACAAAGATAGAAAGGGAAGCAGCATTTGCTTTTGCTCAGCAAACAAATACGAAATAAATAAATACACGGCAAAAGGGGAATATGCATTGCTAGTCGCTGGAAAACTCAGCAAATAGAATGGGAAAAGAGGCAACAAAAAACAGAAACTAAGTTTGGGCAACAGACAACATTTGGCTACGGCGCTACAACAAATGAAATCGAAACCGGAAATCGACAGATAGACACACAGCAACAGGACAGCTCCCAGCCCTGTGTATGTGTTCTTTCCCCACTTGAATTGCTGCTCATTCAACATTCATTCACATGACTACGGCACGGGGCTGTACGGGGAGCCACTGACAGAGTCACGTCAGCGTCTGCGGCGAACAGCAAACATCCTGGCAATGCATGGCAGAACGTCTTCCGTTGGTAGGTCTTCAGTTTGGGTTCTCTCCTCGTCGATATTCAAATATTTTCCGTTGACAGATTTCACAATTTTCCACTTTCATACCTTTTTGGCTCCTGGCCATGGCACAGGCATCTCCGCTTACCCGTTTTACTTATTGTTCATTCATTGTGTCGCAGCTTCCCTTCCCTTTTCTGGCCTTGCCGCTTCGTTACAGTTTTCGTTTCGCTGGAGCTGCCACATTTGGTGGCCGAAATTGCACAGAAACTCATTGGGTGCGGCGGCATCAATCTCTGAGCTGCCTTGGCATAGAACAATTGATGTGTAAAACTTTGATTCGATTTGGGAACAAATCGAAAAATAGGCCATGAATTTCGTTTGGTGTCGCGGTGTGCCCTGAAGTTTTTTGAAGATTTTCTTTTGTTTTTTGGTTTATTTGTTGACTGTTTTCTGCCACTTATGGTTGGGCTGCTTTCTGCTTTCTGCTTTTGCTGCTTGTCTGCTTTAAGCATTTTGTTGTGCATAATTTTAGCTTGAAGTGAAATTCTCCACTCGTTTCTCATTCATATTCTCTTACATTTGCTGCAACTTCCACACTTAGTTGTGAACGTTGAAGGTGGCACAAGCATGCCACAAATTGGCTCGAAAACCCATTGCCAAAAAGCAGTAACGAGCCGAAGGTGCTCCCTGCCAGTGCTCCTCCTGTGCGTTGTGTGCTGCCTGCCCCCATAATTTCCGTTTTGATTAATGAATGTTGAAATGTCGAAAATTGTTTGTTGACGAGCCCGAGCCGCTGGCCGCACACACACATGGCGGAGACTCTCACATGACTGCCACGAGTGGCACGAGTGGCACGAGTGTGGAGTGTGTTTGGGGCAGCTACATCCAACCCATGGCTAGCGCATAAATGTCAAATATCAATCAAAATCGCACATTAGCAAATAAGGGATCACTCCTTCAGCGCATACGTTCGGCATTCCGGTTAATTGATTGCTCGGCACGCCGGGCTGAGGTTGAGGTTGAGGTTGAGTTCGGGTCACAGGGGTCAGCAAACGCCACTTGAGTGGCTCCTTTTGCCCACGGTCTTATCTGTTTAAGAAAGTTTTCCCTGCCGCTGCTGGCATTAACCTGCAATTTGTTTAAGCGCACATTTTATCCAGTTTTGTCTGCCACAGTGGGCGCAATAAGTACACGTCTGAAAGCGCACAAATTACAGTGCATGGGCAGGCGGCTTCAAATGGGGCCAATGGGGCAGGGCTTGTGGGTGGCCCGCATTGCATGTCAATGTGAAAAGTACCCCCCCCCCCCCACCCCCTGCTACTCCTGCTGGCTGGCTGTTGCCAAAAAGTTTAAACTGTTTTTAGCAAGTTTTCTGCACGAGTTTTGTTGCTGCTTCTGCTTCCGCTTCTGCTTCTGCTTCTGCTGTTGTTTCTGTGGCTCTTGTTTTCTGGCTTTTTGGCCAGAAGTTAATTGAACTGCAAACCGCCCACGATATTTATATGAGTCTCGCAAGGGCTCTGCCGGCCGGCGACCACGACACTTTTTGGTGGCTACAGATTGGATTGCATAGCCACAAAATCAATGCATCAAAAAATAGTGGATAAAAAGGAGATGTGCCCCAGTTAAAGCCAGATGAAAAATGTTACCAAGCAAAGGGCACAGCAAAAAAAGGCCAGTGGAGAGTGGAAAATGTGTAAAGTCATTGGCAGAAAGGCCGAGGCGAGTTGAAGGCCAAGACCGCACTCAAAACTGGACACGCCCAGGACAAACAAACAAAAAAAGACCAAAGCCTGAAAACTTGAAAAATAAAGGGCGGAAGGATAGGAAAATTCATTTGAATGAGCAGAGCGAGAGAGCGAAGCTCATGAATAAAAGAAAACATGAACTCGGGCGGCAGGACAGTTAGGGCCACGATGCCCGGCCATTGCCGTTTAAATGTTCATCAAAACGTCTTAAGAAATGTTTTTATTTTCTCTGACAGCCGCAAAGAGACACAGAGACGGAGACTGAGAGGCTGAGAGCCATCGTGGTGCATGCAGCAGCGACATGTGCATATTTAAGTGCAGTTTGCACACTCTCTCTCTCTCTCTCTGAGTAAAAACTAGGAAAAACTTTATCTGTGGCTTGCATTGTATGCATATTGTTTGGGAGAGTCCCTGCTCTGCCCTGCTACGCCCGCATGTGCAGGATCTACATGTGTGTATTGTGTGTCTCCTTCTTGTGTGCTTAGTCATTGTCTTTTGCGTCCCATCGCGCACCCACTGCCGCAGGGCAAACTTCCTCCCAAGCTGCACAGCCCCACCCTGCCGCGTCTCGCAAATGTCTAGTCGCAACAAGAAGAAACACAGCCCGCATCTGAGGAACGAGATTCGATCTCCGGGATACCCGCTTATCCGGTGGAAAATATCTATGAAATTGGCACAGGGCTTATCTTTGTGGCACTAGCCAATCCTGCCACATGTTACATGCACCTCAACTGATGCAACATACCCTTGCTGCGTGTGTCTACTGCTGGGTGCCACAAAATTTCCATTGCATTCTTTTTGCGTGGAATTTCAAACATTTTTCTTGTAGCTTTGTGTGTTGCGAGGTTAAAGAACAAAAATATTTTCGCTATTTTGCGGCGGCAGAAGGGAAGAGGAGGGTGCAGGCAGAAGGCAGAAGGCAGACAGCTGGCAGGGCAGCGGGGGAAAATGTAAAATTAGAAAATGCAATTCGCTTGGACAGGGCAGGATGTGTTGGGTACAGAGAAAACATTTCTTGGTGCAGAAATTAATAAATATTAAAGCTGAAAAGGGAAAGCTTGAGGACGAGAGAACAATTAAACTGTCCATCACTTGGATGTGAATTTTATTTCGTGGCATTCCATTCATCGACTGGCCATAAATGAATCATTTTCAGTTGCGTTGTTGCCACGAAGATGTCGTCGAATGTCAGTCCTCGCCGTTCGACCGACTATACACGGACAATATATATTATTAATATTAATACGCATCGCATTAACAGGGTTCGGGGGCATAATAAATTAATTATGTGAGTCCGCTTGCAGCAGATCCTTTTGATGCCTGCCGCCGCCTCCTGCCCGAGGCACTTCCGTCAAGTAATTAAAAATCGTTGCTCGAACAAAATGTGAATTTATTGCAGAAGCGATCGGCGGGGACATGTGTAAATCATTTCAAATAGATGTCTGATTTTTTCGCACAATTATTGCGGCAGTTCCTGTCACTGGCACTCAATGAAGAATAACGATGACAGGACATAATTATGTTGCCAGGATGCTAGTAGTTATTTTTTGTGTTTGTTAACTTTTTCCTCTGTTCTGTTGAATGTTCATTAAATCGTTGATTTGCTGCCCAAATGAATGGCAGGCACTGCCCAGCTCTTTGGCTAAATGAATTCATCAAAAAGTGTTCCATTGGGTGCGTTATATTTATCCTTTCATTATCCTTTTTGCTGCGGGGGGAAACCTCTGTTCAAAATTAATTTTTATTGCATTTTCGAAAAACAATTTTAAATATTTTGCAACGAGTCAAAAGTGAAAAACGAGCGACGGCCAAACCGCACGACTGGACTCTGGACTCTGGGCTAAAATTTCATTTTCCAGCCAGCACACAAAGTGGTAAGGGAGTGGAGGGTTGGGGGGGATAGCGCTGGTAACAATGGGTTCCTTTGCCTTTTTTGTTGCCTTTCATTTTATTAAAAACTACGAAAAAGCAAAGGCAAAGACAAAGGCAAGCCAAAGACTGATAGATGAATGCGGAACACATCGCCAGGCCATGCCCTGCCCTGCCATGCCCTGCCCCATAATGCTGGCCAAAATCGGGGCACAAGCAGTAAATATGAACTGCCCGGCCAGTGTGTGAGTGGGGGGTAGGGAAGTGGATAGTGCCACACAATTGGAACCATCCGCACCGCCCCCACCACCAAATGCAGGCCGCCCTCTATGCAGGCCATTAATAATACGCTTACGCGCTTTTGTGTCCATGGGCTGTGTGTGGGTTTGGGTATCTGTGGGGCCAGGGCCGCCGCCAGTGGCAGGACAGAGGCATTTTTTTGTCGCAAGGCTGGCGCCATACAAATATCGGGGGGGGGTAGAACAGGGGCAGTAGACAATATATTCATGCCAGGCGCAATGCAGTTTTGTTTTTTGTTTGCCCCTTTTCCTTTTTAGCGATATTGAAAAATACGAGCACATATCTGTAGTTTAAGATGTGACGACACACAAGAGCAGCAACCGCAGGGGGGGGGGTGGTTGCTTTCCCGTAACCAGATCAAATGGCAAATGGCAACAAAAAATAAGTAAAATTTCAGAGCCAACCAGCTATGTCCTGGCCTGCTGTAATTCCTCGAGGTTTGACATTGCGCCCCCCCCGCGAAACGACAAATTGTTGTCAAATATTTGGTCAACACTTCAACAATGCTTGGCAGCAATTTGCAAACGTGCCCCTGCTGGCAGGCAGGGAGCTCTGCCCCAGCCGACTGCCAATTGAAGCCATTTTCCTTTATTTCTCCCTCTTTTTTTTGACGCTGCGTGCCGAGCGCCATCAATCGATTTGCATGAACGGAAAAATGTGAAAAATTACAATGAATAAAAAAGAGAAATGGCCAAAACGCGTGGTGGTGAGGCGGCTGAGGGTTGGCTTTTCGATTTGTAACAATTATTGGTCGTTACGGGCGCAAGTTTCAAAAACCAATTCGTGTGTCGTGCCGTGCCCGAGCTCCAATTATTGCACCGTTTTGTGGCATACTCTGTGGCACGGCATGCTCCTGCTGCCAGGCATAATACCTCTTTTGCGCTAGTAACAATAAACAAATATTATTGACATGCAAAAATGCCACAAAAATGTCAGGAAATATATTCATTGAATAGCAAGCAGCAGGCCAGGAAATGGTCAAACTGGAAACTATTTCTACAGCAACATTAAATCTACATCCAATTAAGTGGCACCTTTCCAGGGGGTTCCAGGCGGTTGCTGGACTTGCTCCAATTGTTTGGAAATTGCCGTGGGCATAATTTTCATTAGTGCCAAATTTCAGCTCGCAGTTTATTTTTAATTGAAATCCATGTTGACACTTTTATGCGTTTTTGGTAGTCCTTTTTTGGTTGATTTTAGGCTTCCGTTTGGCTAAAATGTTCAACATTTTTCGCCCAAAAACATTTTCACAGTTTATTTATTTAAATTTATTGGCTTTGCTCTGTCGGGGGTTAAGCACATGACATTTCAATTTTCAACAATTGCCATAAACCGATACTATCGCCATTTTCGCCAAGCATCAAAGCAGGCCTCCAAGAGTGAGTCGACACTTTTTAGCTGGCAACAAATGTTGCAAGAAATTTCCCTTTGTTTGTTTGGAAATTATTATTAAGTATTTGCGAAGATTCTGTTGGTAATTTTGAGCATTGAGCAGAGTGAGATAATGAACACCGAAACCGAAACCGAAACCGAAAACTGTAAGCGGATTTCTTATGCGAGTTTTAACGTGCAGAAAGTTCCTAGACAAAATAATCATTCCAGCAATCGTGGAGATCTTAGATTCATCGGAAGATGAGCAGGAGTCGGGCTACCAAAGCTACCAAACCGAAAACTGTAAGCGGATTTCTTATGCGAGTTTTAACGTGCAGAAAGTTCCTAGACAAAATAATCATTCCAGCAATCGTGGAGATCTTAGATTCATCGGAAGATGAGCAGGAGTCGGGCTACCAAAGCTACCAAACCGAAAACTGTAAGCGGATTTCTTATGCGAGTTTTAACGTGCTGAAAGTTCCTAGATAAAATATTCATTCCAGCAATCGTGGAGATCTTAGATTCATCGGAAGATGAGCAGGAGTCGGGCTACCAAAGCTACCAAACCGAAAACTGTAAGCGGATTTCTTATGCGAGTTTTAACGTGCTGAAAGTTCCTAGACAAAATAATCATTCCAGCAATCGTGGAGATCTTAGATTCATCGGAAGATGAGCAGGAGTCGGGCTACCAAGGTGTGCCCGAGGCCGTCACAATTATTTGTCCAAGTTCTGACTCCGAACCGGAGGAGGTACACTCCGATGAAGCCAACCCAACAATGCCAAGACGTGCCACGCGTCTCAGCAAGGATGATCTGATGCTTGCAGAATCCCTGCTGGTTGGCCAGGACTCGGAAAAGATGGTTGAAAAGTTTAAGCTGTCCATTTACCGCGGAGATCTGCGTAGGCTTGCGCCCAGCTGCTGGCTGAATGATAATATTATCAATTTCTACCTCTGCCTGATTGTGGAACGTTCGGAGGCGCTGGACCATCCCTCGGTGTATGCCATGTCGACGTTTTTCGCAGAGAAATTACTGGATGGCGGCGGCCATGCCGCTGTGCGTCGCTGGACTCGGAACGTGAATATCTTTGCGTATGATCTGATACTCGTGCCAGTGAATCAGCATTTCCACTGGACCTTGGCGGTGATAGATATGGCCAGGCAGGCAATTACGTACTACGATTCGAAGGCGGGTGAAAATTGCAAGTTGCTCACGGCATTGGAGCGATATTTGTGCGAGGAGTTCGAGGACAAACACGGCCAGCCACTGGACCCAAGTCTCTGGGCCAAGGAACATGATGCAATGACGCCACAGCAATCCAACAACGATGACTGCGGCGTCTACCTGTGCCTCCTGGCGAAACATTTAACCGCACAGCCACGACGGTGTATCCGCAACACGAATATAGCTGAGTATCGGATAATAATGATGTTGGAAATTTACGAAAAGTGTCTAAGAGGCTAGGGAAAGTTTGGCGGATTAAAGAACTGAATTTCGCCTGTGCTGGCAAACATTTGAAACTGGCATTTCCCCCTTTTGCACATTGCTTTTTCCCATTGTCTGTCTCTGCATGTACCTTTCGCATAACCTTTCTCTCTGTGTTTGTTTTTGTTTGCTTTCTTTTCTGTCTGCAGTTGTTGCTTCTTATTGTGTTGGCATCTTTGCATCATTTTCCCTCTGCCGGCACTCTTCAGTCGCTTTTCCACTTGAGCAGCGAGCTATTCTCTGGTTGCACTCCAACGGCGCCTCAATTCGCACTTCACCTGAAGTGCTCCGCCCTCGCCCAAGCATCTCGGTGAGAATAAATGACAATCGATGGAGGGAAGCTCCTGCGGGAAGGCAGCTTCTCCTTCTTCGCACAAAACATGCACTTTCAGGGCCTCTGCAATTAAAAGTGCGCCAAAAGCAGTCAGCTTCCTCCATCCTTCACTCCTCTCGCTGTTATTTGTGTTTAATTAAAATTCTTTCGTACTTTTCGCACTTTGTGCATTGTTTATTGTAATTTTGCGAGAATTTTGTGCTGTTGTTTGCTTGCCGATTGACTGAATGACTCGCTGACTCGCTGACTCGCTGAATCCCTGACTCCCTGACTGACTGACTGAATGAATTTGCTAAAACTTTCCCTCGGGGCATACGCCGCTTTTCATTCACTTTTCCGCAATGCAATTGCAGTTTGAAACGATTTGCATATTCGTTTTTCCTCAACGCCCCACAACGCTCAACGAAAGTATTTTAATATTGTTTTGCATGCTCTCTCTCTCTCTCTCTGATATTTAGAAGCACTCCAAGTGCACTTTTCATTTTAATGATGAGCCTCGCAGCCATTCCCAAGGCAATTTCGGAGCAACATTGTCTGAAATCGCTCGAGTGGAAGGCAGGAGGAACGCTCCCAATGGATTTGCTCACGACAAATTGAATTTCCATCAACGGCAGATAAGTAAATAACATTTCTGACATCTACAAAAATTTGCACTTACCCACAAAAAAAATACGCAAGCTCGGTTGTAGCATTTGCCGGCGCTCAGGATTGCTGCAACTTAATCGAATTTATCATCCCGCCTAATCGAATTGCAAAATTCCAACACTTGCTGCAGATGCAGCTTCAATTTATATTTCTCTTGCGGCTGCTGCCTGTGTCTTGTGGGATTATTATTTATGGGATCACACGCGTGCACGAGTTTATTTTAGTATTTTAAATGCAAATCAATTGAGCGGCAGCAGACACATCTTCGTGGCTGCTTCGTAGCATGTTGCTCAATTAAATTCAAGTTAAATATCGAAATTGAAGAGGTTCTGTCTGCCACTGATTATAAGCTCGTTACCATCAATCAGAACTTTTATTATCTCTAGGCAGTCGCCATAGCCTGTGCCTGTGCGCTGTCTGTGCATCTGCTGCAAGTCACTGTCAAAGTTCGGGCACGTGCCAAACCCAGTCAAGCCCTTGCAAAAGCAATCTAATACGAGTCGAATTGAAGGTAATTTTGGGGCAGGACTCGGCGGATTTCTCAAAGGAAATATATGTACTATATTTTAATGGAAAACGAGCTGAAGGCAGGCTTCTTGCAGTAGCTTCTTGCACTGTCAGAACAATTGATGGTCCGAGAAACGTGTCTTGCTCAAAAAATCGCTCAAAATATAAGCCTTTCTGTTGGATTTGCTGCCCGTTTGCTTTTCTTTTTCTTGTTTTTGAACGCGAAACACCAAGAAGTATGTTAGTCGCGTATTAAAACACGTTACTTAATTTTAAAGTCTGCTTTTTGTGGCCAGCGCCTGGCACTTGACGCCTACAATTATTCGCCAGTTGTCTTTGCTGATTTTCAGTGAGAGTTTTTTTTTTTTGGGTGTAGATGGCCGTGCGAGCTTTCGAACCCGTCGCCTAGGTCGTTCGTTTGCAACTGAATGGCACGGCACACGGAGCGCACACGGAACACGGCGGCAAGTGCAGGCCAGGACAGGCCAGGCAGGAACTACTGACTTTGCTTCCTCTGCAATAGCCGTCGGGAATCAATGTCGTCGCGATGTGCAGCCAGTGAGGCCGAAAGGCTTCCAGTGCGAAACGAAGCAGAGCCGAAACGGAAAGAGTAGGAGCCGTAATCAGTGACAGCGAGAGAGTAGGTTCCCGAAATCAGTGGCGACGAGAGAGCAGCTGCCGTAGCCGTAGCCGTAGCCGGCATTTGTGATTCCTTTGAGTTCCCTAAAGAGAATTTCCATACCGTCTGATTAATTCTGTATTATTTCCACAAACGGAACCCATTAACTGCTCTAACGGAATAAGCAAAGCTGTTTGATGAGCCAGAGCGGGAGAGTGCAAGTGCATAGCTTTGCTCTCTCTCTGCTGACGCTCACTCTCTCTCTCACTCACTCCCTTCGCCCCTGTTGCATAGTCGGCTAATTTCATTGGAATCTCTGGAATGTGTGTTTGGGCTTTCAAGTGCAGAAATAGCAAAGCAGATTTATTCAACTGCCAGCAGGCAAAGCTGAAGGTTCTCTCTTACGGTAAACAAAACACAATCAAATAAATGGGGGGGAATGCATTTAATTATATATGATAATATTATCACAAACTAACAGCTTAATTACTGCACCCTCCGAATAAACTTTTTAATTAAACATAAATCATAATTAATTACTTTTCAAACATGTAAACACTCCACGCTCTTAAGTAAACAATGGACTCTCTTAAATTGCGTTTTGCCATAAACGAAACGAGCGAATTCCAGTGTTTATAGCACACTTTGCCATAAAACTTCCAGGCGAGAGAGCCGCGCTCTCTCGCTCTCTCTATTTCGCCGTCGTGCTCCACATTTCTGCTGACAGCTGACGTTCTGGCCATATCATTTCTCCAGCGACGTCTACTGCTTCCAGCTCCCAGCTCCCAGACGCTCCGCGGACGCCACTTTGGTGCGATTTACGAGGTGGGGTCCGAAGTGCGAAAGCCAAATGGGACACCCGTCAGAGGTCCACAGGCGTGTGGACCTGCCCCAACACTCGCCACGGGTGTGCAGCGGTATAATAAATAAGCTCGTTGCCAGAGTAGACGACAAAGAACTGCTTAAGTAATATTGTTATCTGATTGTCCAAAGCCAGAGGACAGAGTACGGGTTAGAAAAAAAATGCACAGAGAGCGGAGCACGACAGCTGCTTCTAGCGAACTTTTCTTTACCTATTTTTAGCTGCCCCTTTTGGTTCGCTTGTCTGTAATCAGCTTTCATTTAAAATCCCTTGCAAAACGAGACACACGCACGACCTGCCCCACAGACGCGCCACACTGGTGGGTGGATGGTTGGATCTGGGGGTTCTGTGCCCACCCAATCCCCCCCCAATTTGCCTAAAATCTTATATAGTTTTCATGTTCATCCGCTTACAAATGACGCAACGCGGCCTTTGCTTCCCGATACCAGGCGACGGAGGAGCACAGGACTCTTGCTCTCGCTCTCTCGCTCTCTCCTCTTCTCTGGGCTCGTGCAACGGGCTTTCGCTCCAATTCGGCATACCCTCAAGGGCTTGCAGCGCAGCCAGGTGCCTTCCTGTGCTGTCCGTGTTCCGTGTCCGTATCCCAATCCGCTGTCCGCTGTCCGCTGTCCGTTGTCCGCTGTCCGTGGCTGTGCCCTTGTCCGCGTCCTCGTCCGTGTAGGGGGCCAAATCAATTGCTTGCAACACGGCTAAATCTTTCGGATACATGAAATTTGGTTAGTGTGTTCTGCTCTGGCGCCCTGTGGCGCATCGAACGATGCCACCTCCCCTCAATCCCCGTTTGGAGATAGTAAAAGTAGAGCAGGGAACAGGCCCCACAGACCAGGCATTGATTACAACTGGCAATTTTTCAGCTTGTTGCACATTTCGCGTGTTAATGTTGCATGCGGCCACCTCGCCCGTTGGAGTGTGCCCTGCCCAGGGACACGGCGTTTGTTTTCCAAACAATGTCCGAGATAGAGAGCGAGCGAGGCAGCAGAGGAGCTGTGGAGTGGCATGACGAACGAGTATCAATGAATTGGCAACAATGTGGATAATGGTCGTGGCCCAAACACATCCAAAACCAGAACCCATCAAGGGGCTGTCGTTAAGCGCCTAGAAAATTGTCTAATTTTGGCAACTGCTTGAAAATATTTTCAGGCGAATATCAAAGCCAAGGGAAGGGCATAAAGAGCCAGCTCAAAACCCAATCGAAGACCTGTAGGAACAGCGCAAACCCAATCGAAGATCGGTCGGAAATGCAAGTGGTTCCAATTCCAGAACCTACCAAAAGGAAAGGCTGTTCCCCCATCGATCACAGGCTCAACTAATATGTGAGTATTGTCGATAAACTCTCTATTAATTCTCTCTCTAATCTTTGCTACTTTTGGGTTAACTTTCAAAATTAAATATCATTCAAGTTCCAGACACAAGCAAAACCTACAAGAAAATGTCCTTCAATACATGTGCCTGTTCCTATGGCTGTGGCTGTGTAGGTAAGCCAAAAACCGTTGAGGAGCAGCCAGAAGGGCAAGACTCAAGCAGCCGTAAAGCTGCCCAGAAAGAACCCACAAAGGGAAAGTCCAGACTGCCAGCGTCAGCGCACACATCCGACGATGAGAAGGAAGGCTACCGATACGGACACTTGGTTGGACGACAGCTGACCCCGTACGAGTGCCAGCTGGAGGACGAATTGCAGCAGCTGCAGGAGGCACTCTTCACCCTCACATCGCACTATGCCAAGGTGCAGTTCCGCTTGCGCCAAATAGCCGCCGCCTCGGACTCGGAGCGGATTGCGCTGCTCAAGGAGCTGGAGCGCATGACCAGCGAGCCACTGGATGGATCTGCTCGAGAGCAGCAGGAAAAGCTGCCCACGCTGCAGTCGGATGCCTCGACAATGGGCAGTGTGCGGGTCAAGCAGCACAAGATCATTGCACAGCTGCGGGGACGTCTCAAGAGCCTGGCCGCTGCGGTCGACGATTACTTTGTGACGGACAGAACGGCGCAGAGTCGTGGCGAGACCACTGGGGATAGTGCGGATGGATACGAAGAGGATTATGGCTTGGAGGGAGAAGAACTGCAGGGCAATGCTTCCAGAGGTACGTTTCTCTCCGAGGCTTGGTCGGACACCATCTACGCGGACACCGATAATGAGGGGCAGTCATCGCCTTCCAAATCAAAGTCAAAGCATCGCAAGGGCAAAGGCAAGAGCAAGGGAGGCAAGAACGCCCTAGGGACACCGAGAGCGCAACCAGGACATGGCGGCGCTGGTGATAGACATACCCGTGGCGAATGCAGCAAAGATTGTCCCTCGTACAAAGCGCGCAGAAAGAGTGGTTCATCCAGCAGAAGTACACCCAGAAATACATCAAGCAAGAAGGATGTGTCCCCGAATCCCGGCAGACTTTACTCTGTCTTAAGTGAAACGCACTACAAACGACACACGGGCGATGGGCTGGCCGTGAACAAGGTGCGATCTACAGCCAAGAATCACTTAGAAGCGATCCCAAAGGGCAGTCCCAGAGCCGCAAATCGCAAGCAAAAGGCAAATGCCACTCCCTCTGAAAAACTAGCCAAAGGTTGGCCACTCAGCTGGCAGTATCTGCGACTGGACGAGGGGCCCTGCACCAAAAGCTCGACGAACATTAGGAGCTCCAGCAATTTGAGTGCCGCAGCCAGCAGCAGATCTGATGGGTGGAGCGATGTCCGACAGTCAAAGCAATCGCTCAATAAATTATAAATCCAGAGTTTGCAAATATAAAAATAATTTAGACCTCAGAACTTTTAGTCGGAAGCTGACATAAAGTTCTCCTTAAAAGTTCTTCAGGCTAAATTAAGATTATAAATTTGCAATCGAATCTCTCTAATATATTTTTACAACGAAATATGAAGCCATTAAACAGCGATTGATGTCTGCGTGTGTGCGTGCTGCTGCCCTGAAATTATAGCCATGGTCATTGAACCCAGGGACCGTCAGCATCCAGACAACATGGCAGCATCGCATCCCTTAAGCGGCTCTCAAAGAAGGCCAACAAAAGGGTCCAGCCAGTCATCAATGCCATGAGAAACCAGTTCTGAGTTCTCTCGGGTTCTGTATCGTGACCGGGTACCGCTTTTGGCAATTTTCCGCGCATGCGCGACGCGATTTCTGCAGAGCTACTGAGGGTTTGAGGCAGGGCTCTTTGTTGTTTTAGGCAGCGGTCTGGCCGGGCCAATTCCCAATCTTAAGGGTTGGTTTCATCTTGCCACAGCCTCAATGTGCACACTCTGCGCTCCCATTCCCCTTGCCAACGTTTCATTCATAGCCAGATCTCTACTTCAACAGCCTGGTCCCAGGTTCTGGTTGTGGCATTTGCCCACATCTGTTGGCTCTCCTCTCTGAGCCCAGCGAGCAGAGCATCTAGGGGCCTCTGGCGCATGCGCATGCTTCGGCTCTAATCTTTTGTCTCATTGTTGACTGGTTTTTATGACGCCTTCTGTATTAATGGTTCGATATCTCGTGTGTGAAGAGGGTTTCTACGGGCCATGCATGGTATGCGTGACATCTGGCCAAATGTGCGACTCGGTCATGGGTCCATGCGGGTACAGGGGTTTGCTCTTGCCTGTTTAATGAAGTATGGAAAACAGTGAGACAAATTACAGCACAAACAATAAGATTACATACACAAATTGTTGATAGAGATTGAGGGAAGATCCTTGATTAATTTTTCTCACACGTTTTTGTGTGTTTATTGAACCAAAAATTGTTGTAATTTCTCTCCAGGATTTTAGCAAAAATATGGCAAGCGAAATGCTCTAGAAATAAAACGTTAACTATAAATATGTTTCCTGCATATGGAAATTATGGCTTAGATATAGAGTCTGTTCGAGTGTTTTGAACTAATTTGCTTAAATGACAACAAAAAATATCGAGAATTGCCACTTCGTGTAGCACTACTACTTTTTGTCTAGCTCTTTCATGTGATGAGACGTTGGTTGGGTGCATTATATGTGTACGATCTACAGTTGATCTTGGGGCTTAGAACGAAATTAACATTTACATTTACACTAAACTAATTCACTTAACCTTCTTACTCTTACTTTCTGTGTCTTTGTCTTTGTCTTTGTCTTTCTCTTTGTCTTTCTCTTTGTGTTTGTTGTGTTTCTTCTTTGAGTGTTTGCTTTTTGTTTATGCATATTTAAAATGTGTTAGTGATATGATTCCTAAGGTATAAACAGTTCCTTCAGTTGCATATTTGTTCGATTTGTTTCTTGATTCGTTTGTTTTTTGGTATGGCACAGTTTTGGCATTACTTTTCCTACGGCTTGGGGTTCGAAGCAAAGTCTATGGCAAGAAAAATCTATTTGCTTTGAGCGGCCGCATTGCATTAATCCATAATGTGAGGCTTTTCTTCTGCTACTAAAAACTAGATCCCGCAACCTTGAGCTTGAGTTCAGATTCTACTTGACAGCTCCTTCGCATTGCTGCATTTGCACGAGTAGCAGGAGTATGCGATTCATCAGATTATCCGCCTCGGAGTCCTCCATGCTGTTCAGCTTGGCCGAGATGAAGCCACAGAACTTTGAGTTGAGAACCTCGCGCACCGTTTGTGGTGGCGGCAGATCCAGTCCACCGGTGACTACAGCTGCATTCTGTTGCTGCCGCAAATGGCGATGCTGCTGCAGCATCTGCTCTTCGTAGTCATCGCCATCGATGACACCGCCGACATCAGCACCGTCTGCATCGCCGTCGTCCAGGTCCCCGTGCTCGCCATTGCGACGACGCTTACGGGAGGAGGCCACCTCATCCACGCCGGCATTGGTGCTGCCCGGTGAGTTCGAGTCGAGTATGAGGGGATAGGGAAAGTCTGCATCGATGGCCTCCAGTTCCTCCACCCCATCGGAGGCATTGCCGGCATCCGCATCGGCATCCTCGTCGCCGCTCCGCAACGAGCTCGCGTCCATGTCGTCGTAGCTCTGCTGCAGATGATGATGCTCATTCCTGGTGGAGCTCACCCGACTGTCGTTATTCGCCTGATGCTGATGGGCAGGCTGTGGCAGAGCGGGCGGCCCGCCGCCACCACCCGAACAGCTGCCGCTGCTGCTGCTCCCTGCACCGCCTACGCCGCCGCCGCCCGTCGAGAGATCCAGCTCCGGCTTCACATAGTAATCGCAATAGTAATCGTCACCGCTCGCATTCAAAGTCGAGCACTTGGACAGATTCAGTGCAGAGGCCGAGTCGTTGAAGCTTGAGGATAACTTCATTCCGGCGCCTGCTTTGCCACCAGCTCCGCCGCCCAGCAGGCTGTTGTGGTTGTTGTTATTGTGGCTGTTATTGTTGTTGTGCAGATGAGCCGCATAGGCGCTCAGGCTGAGATCTGTGGCATGAGAAGCGCCTCTGAAAAAAGGAGAAACAGAATTAGAATGAATTTAAAGACAAGAAAGCTTTGCATGAAACACGGATTTAAATCCATTTCCCTGTTTTTTCCCAACCATTCACATGAACCTACAACAGGCCATGCCAGAAATAGACCAAAATCGCAGACAACCCCCCGAAATGGTAGTCCCAAACGTGCTCAAACAAACCCCAAAGAGCAGATTCGATACAATATGGTAGTGAACATAACCAGAACCAAAATTTATTTCAATGTCCCAAAAAAACCCAGACCTTGGCTCTGTCGTTCGGGGCTGGTTTCCCTTCCTGCGTCTCAAATTTCAAGAGCATTTTCCCAAAACAATGCAGCTGCCAGGGACTCTCTCTCTGCTCTGGGTGAACGCCTGAACGTGGCTATTTTTAGCGTTGCTGTCGACCCCCAACTCCACAAAGTCGCGGCTTGGCCCAGTTGTGTGCCCATTTACAAGGGGAAGAATATGAAGAAGAGAACAACTCTCCCCCGCCCTAACAAGACACTCCACGGCTTATCTCTCTCTGTCTCTAGCAGGTAGTTGACAATTGGAAAATGTTGTATGTAAAATGATATGCCAGACAGTCAGGACTAATCAGGGCCAAATGCATTTTCACATGTTCCACTATCTCGCTCTCTGGAAGAGAGAACTCTATTTGCCTGCGGCTTCTGTGGTCTTGGCTCGAATGGTTTCCCTTGGTCTTATCAATATTTGCTTCCGCTCTGACCCAAAAAAAATACAGGACCCTGACCAGAGACCATTAGACAGTTTACACTTTTCGGGGGATTTTAGCGGGGAAAATTCCACAAATCGCGGCGTTATCTGCACTTGGTCAGATTATTCCCACCGTCGTTTTGAGTCAGAAATAATTATGATGATCGTTAAAAACAATTTCCCAATCCCAGCTTATTGATCGTGTGATAAAATGAATAATAATCCCTCCCAATTGCCTAATCGGGCACAAATATTTGGCAGTGCAAATGAAATGGGGCTATGGGATTGGAATGTGGGGGTAAACGCCCACTTTTGTGTGTGTCTGACGCACTGGAAAAACATTTAATGAAGAAGGGGAAGATCGCAAAACAGTGATTATGGGGCGTGGTTCGATGGCAGCTACCGTGGTAGTGCAGGGTGGGGAGGGAGGGCAAACAACAGTTTCATCAATTTTGCAGCTCATTTGCTTATTAAATCATAAGCGTGACACACAGACAGCCGAATGCAAAGAGCCGAACAGGAGAACATGCTCAGATGTGTGCGGCACAGCAGCGATCAAAATAATAGCAACACAGAGAACACATATCATGCATGCAAAGATTAATAGCTCAAGATTTAAATGAGAATTAGTTTTGCTACTTGGAATATTTATCCCCAAGAAAGTCTTTAGGCAAACACCGATCATAATAAATATTGCAAGAAAAATGTGTACCCACAACTTGCATTTCCATTGCTATTCATTTGACCAGAGCTGTGTTTTTACGCGTACGTGGACTCGATCGGGGAGCAGCTAGAGAGGGAGACGGAAGATGGCCGAGCAACCCCACAGGCCCGGTACTGATGTGTTGTGGCTCTGCCGATTCGCTTGTCCCCCCCGTCCGTCTGCCCCTCTGCTGCTGGGCTGGTCGTGGGCATATTTTTAACCCTGGCCGAAGTCGAAGCCAAAGCCGAGGCTGAGACTGGCTGTTCAATTGCTCACCCATACAGCCACACACACACAGACACAGTCAGCGCAGCGCAGAACATTCACACTGACATGCCTCATTTTCTCTCTCCCACAGCCGACCCGACCCGACCAACCGACCGACACTCGTCTGCGATTCTTTTCTAAACTTGGTCCACGATTGTCATTTTCATATTGCTCTCATTAATTTATCGCTCTTTCCCTGTCTCTCTTCTGTCTTCTCTATCCCTCTATTCCTTCATCACTCATACATTCTCACTGTCTCTGAGGCTCGAGCGCGCTACCACCACCAGTAGTACGTTTTTTTGTTGCTGTTGTATTTTGTTGGTTTTTGCAGCTTCCCTCAATTTTGTTTTTGGTTCAAGTGGCGATGATGCTAAGGCTAGAGGCTGGCGGCTGGAAGCTGGAGGCTGGTGGCTGATGGCGAGACCTCGCCTCTGTCGTTGTATAATGCTGTAGAATATTCGCTGCTTGGCGAGATCTGTTTTTATGGCTATGGCTATGGCGGCGGCTCAGGCGCTGTACCGGGCCCGGGCCGGGCCGAGTCCGTTCCGTTCCGTTTCTGTGTTGTCTGTTATCAGCTCAAAATAATAAAAATTTAAATATATATACATATGGACTCTTGTGTGTGTGTGTGTGTTGGTGTGTGTGGTGTGCGGGCATGTGTCGGGGCCGTCGACTGCTTGTTGCCCATGTGGGTACAGTCAATTGAAAGGAAATGGCCTTATTTCATATAAATATGTACATAAAGTACAATCCACAATCCACACACACACCAGCACACATTCTTATACAAGTTGAGCTCCATATGAGCCAGAACATTGGTCGGGGCAGACTCTCGACTGGCGGCGGGTCTCGGTCTCTGGTCTCTGGCCTGGTCATTCCTTTGTTCTGGATTGGTTTTTTCCACGTTACCGCTCCGATGTTCGCTCTACGAGTACTTAAATGTGCACACGGCCATCCCATCCACATATGCATATTTTTGTTGTTGGGCAGATGTTTTTGCTCAGATACTGAGCTGAGATTTGTCCAGAGTTCGCTATGCAAATTATCAGCGATGCTAACTGGTTAGCGTTTGAAAGGATATGAGCCAGGGTTGAGCAGGACTTGATGATTTTTCTTATAAAGTTGGCTATAAAGTTGTAGATCCAGTAAGGGTAGATCGGATTTTTTGTAACCATAATGTTTGCCTATTAGCGTGACTCATAATCCAGCAGGAAATCGATTTCAATGGCACTTGGGACAGCAGGCGCTACCCCCATGAACTGATAAGTTTCCAAGAAGTATTCCACTTCAAACAATTATGCCATTAGACTATGTATGCCACCACCCCACAACATAACAACATTCAACTTTGCATGGAATTGCTTCTCCACCGATCAGCGACGTCAACAACATTAAAACCGGGGGGAGAACACAAACCTTAGCCCCCAGACCTTATACGATATGTCAGTGTGTGTGTCTTATACGTGTGTGTGTGTCTCAGCTACAATAACAATTTATTTTAAGTGTGCCATCTTTTCGATTTCCAACCAAGATCTAGCGCATGAGTCACCACCCAAAGGAAATATAAATGAGGATCGTGTAGTAGTTTGCACCCGCGCTCTGCACACACAAAGCCACGGACAATGAGCATGAGAATGACAGACACAGACACACAGACAGAGAGACAGCCAAGCCAAGAACCAAAAGCCATTATTCATGACTTGAAGGTGCACTTTGACCACACACCCCAATGCCTCCTATGAATCGATCGAGAGGGAGCAGACACAGACGCTTATCGAAACTCTTTGTAATATTAGTCAAAAGCACGGACAATGAGTACATCAAGTGAGTGTAAGATGAGCCAGCGACATGATAAATACGAAATAACATTGAAAATATCGGAACCAAGACCCATTCATGGTCCATTTAACTCAATCGTGACACGAACACTGCCAATACGATTTGTACTCACTTTCTCTCTCTGATGACATCTCGCAGAAAATCCATGGCCTCGTACAGGCTCCACTTGGGCTTGAAGCCGTTGCCCATCATCTTGACGTGGGCCAACTCCCGACGATAGGATTCTCGCAGAGATTTGAATGCGCGCGCCACTCGGCGACCCGGAGCATTGAACTCACGTCCGATGTGCTCCCAGGCGCGGTTCTTCTCCTCCTCGGCGCCCTTGAAGTTGGGCAGACGCGAGTCCCACAAGATGGGATTGTCGTGCACCATTTGAATGAGCTTTAGCTTGTCGGAAGCATTTCGACGTACCACTACAGAGGGGGGAAAACAAAACAAACAAGAGGGGTTGATTGAGGGTATGGCGAAGGATGCGCGAGGACTACACACATTTCTTGATCTTCTGCGTGGGCGCCACAGCCGTGGAGGAGGACAGGGGCATCAGGTCCACCTTGGGCGTCATGTCCAGGGCAATAGCAGCTGCGGCTGCGCTCAGGTCCTGCAACGAGTTGGTGGCGCTGGGCGATCGGCCAGAGATAGCGCTCACGGGAGCCATCAAGATGTGCTGGAGAATCTGCAGATTTATGTTGGCGGCCAGTGTTCCGTCTTCACTTTGCACTTTTTGCACTAAGACACGACACGACAGGGCACGATCGCGGGCAGGGCGGATTTGAGGAGGCTACCCTCTCACGACCAAGTTTAAACGGCGAATAAAAACGGAAACCAAAAAAATAACAACCACCGCAACGAGCAGCGGCAGAAAATCGAGCGGCGTCGACGCTGGCAGCAAGCCCGCATTCAAAGCCAGAAAATCACGCGCACATCATGAAGGAAGGAGAGAGCGCAACAACACAACAACAAGTCCGTCCTCTCTCTCTCTGTTTCGTTTCTGTTTTTGGCTCTCAGTCTCGCGCTCTCTCTGTCTGGCACGCTGCTTAGATGGAACAAAGTGTACCGTTATCGGAGTCGGTCAGGCCGAGACAGACGACCAGGTCACAATCGAAACGTTCTCTTCTGCGCTCGCTTTGCCGCTCTCAACAGAATGGAAAAATGCCGTTTAATTGCAATCACACAACAGAGCAACAGAAAGTAAAAGCAAACGAGGAACGGCGAGCGAACGAACGCGAAAAGCAGCGACGCCAGCCAGCGCACACACACACACATTCCAGTGAATACAATCAAGAGGAGAAGAGAAACAGAACAAGAAAATGTGTGTAATACAAAAATCCGTCGACGCGTTCGCGCTTGTGTCGTCAGTTTACAGTAGCGCTGGACGAATTCGCCGTTTCTTTTCCGCGACAGAGATGGCAATGTAATACCCTACAGTGGGAGGCTTCTTAGTTCATCAGAGATCTTACCAATAAGGTATACAATTATTTTTTTTTTAATCAAATTCTAATTGGACTAACGCTGAAGGTTTAGTTGATGAATTTCTTGCAGCGGAATTTCAAGAGACATAACACAAAACTTTAGGGGCTGACAAAAATTGACAGAAAATAATGGTATCCTAAGAGAGAGTATAACCCACACTTTGGTCGACTCTTAAGCACAGAACGGTCTAGTACACCCCATTGCATACGCGTACCCTCACAGATTAAATTTATTTATTAAGAGCGGCACAAACTGTTGCCGGGACAAGCGGACTATCGGCCCACTCGCAGTGGTCCAACGCAACGTACACCAGTGTACTTCCTCAAACTCCCTCTTGTCTCACAGCAATTGCAGCACTCATTTCAGTTTCAATTTCGTATGCATCACCCTCTGCCCATCCACCAACTGCTGTGTGTGTGTGTTTGTTGTCGAGGGGGGATCTTCTGGAGGGTAGTAGGGGGCAGATTTGAGCCCGCTTAAGTAATGTGGAGTGGGGGAGGGAGGGCATGGCAACGATGAATTCGGTTCTCTCTCGCTCTCTCTGTCTCTTCTTCGCGTCTACAATTGCGTTTTAGTAGAATTGTCGTTCTGTTTGTACTGCTTTGGGTCTGTCTTTCTGCCTGCTTGCCGCGTCGTCTTGTCTTCTTTCGCTGCAGTTACCGCCGCGATTCCGATTCCGATCCGAAGTCGAAGTTCAGTCCATTATCGTACTTCCTCGTTTGTAAAAATTTACAAGAGAACTCAGAACATTTGGATCACACATGTTGGCGATACTGCCAAGGAGCAACAGAGACAGAGGACTTGCAGTGAGTGGGTAAGTGAGCGAGCGAGATGAATGTATCCATTTGTGTGTGCGTTTTGTTGTGGCCTGCGCTTTGTACTCACATTCGCTGCAGAGCAGCAGAGATAACAGTAATAGTTCGTTCCCTATTTCTGTCCATTTAAGCCGCTGAAAAAATCTAGCAACGACAATCGACTCGGACTCTCGCACTGCAAGCAAATGGCAAAAAGAGAGGCGCAGCAAGAGAGAGTGAGTGACAGAGTGAGAGATCAGAAATGCTTTGTCTGTACGTAATTTATGCCTAATGAACTATTTCCGGCCAAGTGTCAATTAATGTATTCTGTTTTGGGGCAGCAGCCCAGCCACAACGTGCCCGCACAAATGTTGTCACGATCATTTTTCTGGCAAAAACTCTGGGCCCCCACATTCACACACACACACAGTAGATGCCCATTCCCATCTCTCGAGCTCACAATCTTCTCGACGGAGGGACGGACAGCCAAGCAGCCGCTTCCGTTGCAGTACCCTCTATGACCCAACCCAATGCCTCTCAATCTGGCCCGATCGCATGATCTCTCGCCAGATGAAAGACCCTCCCTCCCTAGTCTGCCCGCCCGCTACGACTCTGTTTCCTTTTGGTATTTTTCAAGCCAAATTGAAACCCATGCAAGCGGAATTTGTTCTCTACTTGACGGCTACTGCTGATTAAATTCTCATGTGTGTGTACATATGTACTTTCATACATATGCACAAGAATAAATATGTATGTACGGCTGTATTTATGTGAACTTTTATGGGGCAAAATGAGTTTTCTGCTCTTTAGTTGGTCTCTGGCAATAATGCGCAGTTAATTGGGCAGCCATAAAACGGTAAAGTAAAGTGAATTTGAGAGCCCAAACGATGATGGCACGAACAGGAAGATTTTTTACAAATGAAATAAAATATGCATTTGTTCATACATACTACATACATATATGTACATAATAATGTATTTAATACGCGTATCAAGGATTTGTTCCTGAATTTAATTCCTGAAACTCGACTTCTTTCAGCGACTCCTCCTCATCAGGAAACTAGTAACCCTGCCCAACCCATTAATAGCCTCTTACAAATATATGTACATATATATGTATGTACATACATTTGTACATATTCATGTTCGTACTTAAACGAGTATTAGGAAACACCACAGAGCCCTTCTTCTGCCGTCCCCATGGTTCGTCGCTTATCAGTGAAATTAATCACTAATTCAATGCAAATAGAGTCTTGGCTGTAAATACAAAGTCAATAAATATTGACACAGGTCAAAACGCCAGGCCAGGCAGCGTAGAGTGCTGGCAGGAGGGGGGTTAGGCAGGAACATGAACGATCGTAACTGTTGGCGTTTTTTTTTTTGCTTCGTCTTCTTACCCATTCGATAAGCCCGAAATGAAACGAAAACGAACCCTAATTGAACTCAGCTCTCAGCTCACAGCTCACAGCTCACAGCTCACAGCCCAACCCCAAACCCAACTCAATCAGGCCATAAAATTTACGGCGACTGTTTTTGTGTCCACAAACAATCCAAAGCGGGGGGAAACGATCCAGACCATGTTGGGTTATAATTTTAACCAACATTTTTTCTGATGAACCAATCGACTGAGACCCCAGGGCCAAAGGCAGATACCCTCCCCCTGCCCGCAGCCGCCGCTGCATTTGGCAATAGATAAAGAAAAAAGATGACGACTCGACGGGATGGCTTGGCTTGGCTTGGCATGGGGCATAGGCACGGGGGTAACCGTCTCATGACAAATCAAGCAGATCGAAGCCCGAAGCCAAGACCGAATCTGGGCTGGAATCTGAATCGAAAGCGATCGTCCATCCATCCATCGATCAGTCCCAAGTACCGGGCGAAAATCAGTTGCCGTTTTTTCTACTTTGTTGTTGGTTTTTGACGATGGTGCGGACTGTCGCGCTCGAATATTTAAATTCTGACCCAACCCCAATCCAAATAAATTTGTGGCGTAATGTGCAGCTGTGTGCGTGTGCTTTTCAGTTTCAGTTTCTTGCCGTTGCTTTACTCTCCCTCTCTCTCTCTCTGCCTTGCTGTGCCGGTCTCTTGGGGTCAAAATAGTCGCATATCGTTAAGAATCCACCAGGCCAGGCAGCCAGGCAGCCAGGCAGGGGAAATAACAGAAACTTAAATATCATCGCAATTGGGTAATGGCCCGGCCATGTGACTGCCGCGAAAAAGAGTTCGAAGATGCAAATGAAGGTCACAATATGTACTATGTATACATACATACACTTATGTATGTATTTATGTATGTACATAGGTTCCTAGGGGAGCGCTTTAAAAGCCGTTTTTGACACTGTTTTTTTCGAATTTATTTCAACCGAAAAATGAATTTTTGTGTTTGCTGCTAATGCTGGTTTTTGCACTCAAAGATTGTACATAAATTTGTACATAAATGTAAGAAAATGTATGTACATATGTACATATCTTACACATATCTCTAGCTATTATTTCTATTAGTTATATCTTAGCTACCCACAAACTCTGAAGATATTTCGCCCCAGCTCAAGTTATTCTTGTCCCAGGCCCTCGTTTAATCGCGGTTATAGGCCCAGCTCTTGGTGCAGCACTCCCCGTACATATGTTGACGCTGTCGGCGTTTCGCTTATCGTTTGCCCGTTGATTGTTGTAATTGCCCGCTGGTCGTACAATTTGCTGTTGCGGTTGGCCCACTGGCCAGTGCGGCTGATAGTGGCTGGAAAATATAAAACTGAAAATAGCTGGCAATGCCTGAGAATGACCGAGGAGAGCTCTGAGCTGTCTCTCATGATCTAATGCAGTCGTCGCTCCGCTCCCCACAGTTGGTTCATCTGCTTTTGTGGTGGGTTTCCCCTGCCGTGCTGCCAACATTTGCTGCTGTTAATTACTGTAACTCACTTGCAGCAGCAAGTCCAAACAAAGCGGGAAAAGAAGCCAAACCGAAATGGGCAATACACTAAGTAATTAAAGTTAAAGCTGTTAAGATAATGCCAGCAAAGGGAACAGGGAAAAATGCCCCTGGAAAGTGTATGCCCAAAAAAAGAAGTGCATCGCGCGCTGCTTCAGCGTTGGGAGTTCCCTCACCCCCCCCTGCCACACTCACATGTCCGTTAGAGAATGAGAACACAAAAATTTAATTAACAATTTAGAGCAACATTTGGGGCCACCGAAAAACAGAAAACAAGCAACAGAAACGCCAAAGCGCGGTCGGTCCCTCGGCGAGTTAGTTAGCAGCCACGCCCACTGTGGCAGCCTGCAGCGGAGTCGGATCTAGTGTGTGTGTGTGTGTGTGTGTGAAGGACCCGCCTTCGCTTTGGGGCCAAAAGCTGGCATGTTCCAAGCAGACAACTGCAACAACAACTTATCACTCAACAATCAGAGGCAGGCACAGGCACAGTCGGAGCGGAGCGGAGCGGAGCCCAGGAACTGGCCAAGTAATTACAAGAGGACATGCCAAGAAGGCGCCCTCTCATGCGAAAGGGTTGTTGCTGCGGTTAGCATCTACATTTAAATGGGAAAATTGTTAGTTGAAGCATACGGAGAATCCAGGCAGAGATTTCTTGGGTTGACTTTTGGGGTTAACATGCGACTACCAGAATTAT